TTTTTTTTGAAAAAATGTAATTTTTCACATCCTCTGAAAGGGAAAATTTTCCTTTTTTTTTAAAGCACAACGCACACCAGGGTGAGGTGGGGGGTTGAGGCCGCACCCTCAACTTGTGAATATAACGTCCCTGAGAGGGCTAATAAGTCAAGATTCTACATAAGTGTCGAAAATACATACAAACATCATCAAAATAAAAGATACAAGAGTCGAAGAATGGTCAATGTGGGGCCAAAGGAAAATCCTCATGATAAGGCGGCCTGGCCATGGGAGGCCAAGTGTAAAGTCCATAGCATCAAGTCAAGGCAGGGTCATGGTGGTGGTGGCTGTCCAAATCTGAAGGATGGATACTCTAGCTGGTTCATCCGAATGAGGGTCCGAAGCTGGAGGGGGATGTTCCCGGGTGGAGGGAGCGTCTCTGAGGTATAGATGCTCCGGTGCGAGCAAGAAAATCAGCGGGACAGTTCCCCTCTCGGAATATGTGGTAGACCTGTTAGTGGATCGAGCGGAGGGTGTCTCTGATGCGCATAAGTGGATGTTGAATCTGCCATGAGTCCTGGTGGCCAGATGCCATAAGTCTGATGACAGCTGCAGCATCCATCTCAATCCAAACATGGGAGGAGATCGAGGCGGCAATCTGAAGACCTATCTGGAGCGCCCGAATCTCTGCATCATAGCTCGAGGAGGCCCGGAGGGGGCCATGGAAGGCAATGATGAACGCCCCATCATGGTCCCTAATCAGGCCCCCTCCTCCAGCAGCTCTGGTATGTCTGTCGAATGCGCCATCAGTGTTCAGCTTAACCCAAGGAGGCTTGGGTTTCAGCCATACAACAGTCTTGGGTCGTGGGTGTTGGACATGTGGAGGGGATGGTGGCCTCAAACGATGGGGCGGCATACAACCCGTTCAGTCTCTTGTCGTGAGTCTGCCCAGGGCGGTGAGGAGAGAGAGGTGTCTCTCAACCTGAAAAATAATGTGAGAGCAAGAAAATGTAATATCCCTATGCTTCGAGTTATTCCTTTCTGTCCAGGTGAACTACAGGATCAAACAAGGAATAAGAAAACCTACGTGTCTACTGTGTGTGCGGCGTGAGAAAAAAACTCAAGAGCTCAAAAAAATTATCTGTAGTGGGTAGAGGTGTATGAATATATCTGGAATAATGCTCCCATACTCTCCTCACAGTCTCACTCTCAAGGAAAGGTGGGTGAAGGTCTCGATCTCGATAGTGCCAGTCTCAGTACAACAAGGACAA